TGATGGGATGATGGGATGATGGGGCTCTTGTTGTCACTTTGCCACCCAAGACGTGATTCAGGTCCAACAATCCCCATTATCTGCTGTGTGTCCCACACTGTGACGTCACACAGGGACGTAGCTGGAATGATGACGAGTGTTTCCTAAACGCGCTTTGTTCACTGTGTTTTTTTTCTCCTTCTCTGCATCCTCCTCACCTCCACCATCATTGGAGGACAGCATCCTCCAACCAGTCAGGTAGTACAGGAGGAGGAGGAGGAGGAGGAGGAGGAGGAGGTGAAGAAGGAGGAGGAGGCTTTAAAAGGCCGGAGGAGCGGTGTTTGTGTAAACAGATTCCAGATCAGAGCTGCTGTTTGGACAGTGAAGAGGATCCACTCAGCGACTGTTTTTCTTCTGTCTCTCTGGATCAGTCTCAGCTCAAGTGTGTGTTTACTTCTCCAACAAACAAACAAACAAACAAACAAACACACTCATTCGCGGGTGATGGCTGCACCGACCAAGTTCAGTTTTTCCGTCAGGAGCATCCTGGATCTGCCCGAGCAGGCTGCTGCTGCTGCTGCTGCTGCTGCTGCAGCGGAGCCGCTGCCGCGCTCCTACTCCTCCGCCTCCTCCTCCTGCTCCTCCAGCTCTCCTTACACCTCCTGGTTCGACTGCGATCGGAGCCCGTGCATGTGTGAGTAGACGTTTGGATGAATCCACTGTGTTTTAGTTTAATCACTAAACTAAACTACGGCGTCTTCTACGCTGTCGGTCAACTGCGTTGAGGCCTTGGACTCAAACTCGCAACCTCCTGGGTGAAAGACAGGCGAACTTTCCACTAATACACGCTGAGGGGTTGTTGTTCACTTGAAGGGAATGAGTTTCCTTTAAACAAGGAAACCAGTTACAGACTCGTGCCGATGTGTCCGTGGTCCACAGGTTTACATCCCTGTAGAAATCAGACGGATGTTGCGCCATGGAAATCACAACCTCTCTACAAAAACGGCTGATTTAAAGTATCAGCATCTACTCTAGTTGACGTTAAAATAAAATTAAAAAATTAAAAAGCATTTTTTAAACGTCTATTTTGCAGATATTTCCTTAAGAAAAGTGTATTTTCAGCCTTGACTGAACGGTGAAAATAGATGAAGAAGATGAGCTCGTGTTGATCGATGGTTTCGGTTTGGTTAATTTAATTGATATTTAATGTCAAGGAAACAGACAACTGTAAAGCAGAGGGGAGTGAGTCTGTCTTCTACTGTGGTGGAGGTTCAGATCCAGCACCGATGTGTCCCTGCACCTGAGTCTTAACATAGTCAAGTTGAAATCCTCACACTGATGGAGGAGGCCGCTAATTCTAACACGTCTCATGTGATCCAGAGATTTAAAACATCTTTAGCAGATGAAGAATTCTGTGCGTAATTCCCACGTCTTTCCTTTACGTGTGGATTTTAATGTGTTCATCTAAAACCCCTGCAGCTTCAGATGAAGGAAGTCTCGAAGCTTCTCCAGACTCCACCAAACCGGACGATTCTTCTCTGGACCCGGACAAGAGCAAGAAGAACAAAAAGCGCCGGGTTCTGTTCTCCAAGACCCAGACCCTGGAGCTGGAGCGACGCTTCCGCCAGCAGCGGTACCTGTCCGGCCCGGAGAGGGAGCAGCTGGCCCGGCTCCTCAGCCTCACCCCGACCCAGGTGAAGATCTGGTTCCAGAACCACCGCTACAAGATGAAGCGGGGCCGCGCTGACGGCGCCGCGCTGCAGGACGCGGACGCTGCCGCGGCGCTGATGGCGCATCCGTCGGTTTTGCGCAGACTCGTGGTTCCGATCCTGGTTCGGGATGGAAAACCTTTTCACACCTGCGTACTGGACTCGGAGAAACCTGCGTTTCTGCATCCGAACTCTCAGTCCGTCCCGTTCCCACTGCCGTACCCGGCTCTGCACCAGCTTCCTCCCAGGTATCAGCACTTTCCCAGCGCGGCCTCCAGACTGGCCTGGAGAGACTTCTGGAGTCCGCTTTAAAACACAAACAAAACTCAAGAAAACAGAAAGAAAACAAACAAACAAAAACTAAAGAGAATCCGCTCTGAGGCACAGACTGGTGTCGGAGGAGCTCAGATGTTTACTGAGGGTCTTCACCACCAGAACTGCAACAACAACAACAACAACAACAACAACAACATGGAGTTTTGCACATTTTTATTTTATTTTTCTTTCCTAATATTTTTTTTGTGTGTGTGTATTTGTCATTATCTACTGAGGTCATGTTTCTATGTTTCCCAGTCGGCAGGTCCATTTGGGCCACATGGGTTTATTTGGACCCCAAAACTTTGGAGCCCAAGTTTTTCTGGACACTTTGCACCGACAGCAGACCCACATGTGGACTGGATCCGAACATATTTGTGTAGAACCTTTGTTGGTGTCAGACGTTAGACTGCGTTAGGCGGCGCTAGAACATGTAGCAGAAACTCTGTTTAATTATTATAATTATTTTAATTATTATTATATGACTGAAGGAGGATTCATGTGATGTTGTTTCTTTTAGGAAACTTTCCTTCAATATTTGACTTTTTTTTAAAATCTGTTTTCTATTTGTCAACACACTGTTAATAAAGAATGACCACTTATTTTGTATGACACGTTTTTCCTTGTATTTTGTTTTATCTTTTTGTTAAAATTCAGCTTTAAACGCTTTTGAAATAACGTCTTTAATTTTTTTAAAATATATATATATGTTTAATTTTCCAGTTATTATATCTGTAGGTTTTTTCCTTTATATGATTCCCAGCTTCATGTTGCAAAGAATTAAAGCATTTTTAATATACTTTACTTTTACTTGGTTGTAGAATCTATGCAGTAAAATTAACAGCAGATTTTTGTTTTCAATGATTGATTTTTTGCTGCAGTTTTTAGTTTTATTTTTTCAAATTATTTAAACTGATTTGAAAGGAAATTGAATTGGACTTTTAATTGGACTGTAAATATTTTTTAGCACAACATATAAGAATGGAAACACAGATGAAACTGATAAACATTTTCATCTTTTTTGTTTGTATTATATAAAAGTCAATTCATTTACATTTTATTTAGTTTTTTCTCATTTTCTTCACAGTAAACAAACACAAACTAAATTAACACGTTTTCAACTATTTTGATAAGCGGAACAATGTCTGGGCTTTTAAATATTTGACTCAAACACACTTTTAGCCGTTTGCTAAATTAAACGTAGAGTGTTTTTTCAGTGGACGTAAACTAAATCTGAGAGTCAGAGTTTAAAATATAATAATTTAGTCTAAAATGAATCTAATTAGTGGAGAGTAAACTGAGTGGCTGCCTGTGACACAGGGCCGAGGCCTGGGAGCCTTTTCTGATGGTAACAGAAGCTAATTATGCAGCTAAAAGCTGAGCAAACACCAATGTTAAAGGCAGTGGATTTGTTTAAGCATAAGAATAGAAGCAGCAGTAAACATCTCTGAGCTGTCGTCTGGAGCCGGGAGCTGCTTTTTCACTTTGACACAATTCCCTTTTGTTATTCTGTTACACTGGTTTGGTACTGTAAGACTGATGTGAAGACGATCTCTCTGTGTGTGTGTGTGTGTGTGCAACAGGCTGAAATGAAGGCACGAGAGAACGGAGTGGGAGATGACTTTTTATAACAGTTTCTGAGGTCACATTAGCCTTTTTTGCTAACTTTTAGCTGTGTTTCAGTGTAACTTTAAGCTAATAGTTAACAATTGTAGCTAATGACGTGCCTGGTTTAAACTCCTCTGTAGCTGCTTCTGGTCCATAACTCTGACCTCTCTCTTTAGCCTCATTTTATTACTATTTTTATTCACTATGTGTGGCTAACGTTAGCCTAATTGTGCTAACCATTACGTACTAGGGTTCATGTTTGGTTACACTTCAGCAGACTGCAGCAGCTAAAAGGTAAATAAACCTAACTTGAAATGTTTGTAATAGCTCAGGGGCCATAGCTCAGCCCATTAGCATTAGCCATTTTATATACTATGCATATGTATTTGACTAGCTTTCATCCATAATTATGCTAACCTTTAGCTCCATCTGGATAATTAGAATGCATTAGAATGTTTGTTTGTGTGTTTTACAAGCAACAGTTTTATATCGAAATAAAACAGAGGAGAAAAGGAAAATTATTTTGTAAAATTTTGTATAATTGTATTCCTTTAACAGTTAATAATTTAACTGGTAACTTAATGAGTTACTAGTTGATCTTGTGAACGTGTTAATCCGCTTAAATGTGTTTGTTCGACTGAAGTCTTGATTCTCAGGGACGTTTGGTCCTTGGGTGTTTTTACGATATTAAATCCCCCCCCCCACCCCCTGCTCCACCCCTGTCCTCTAATGAAGAATCTGCTGCAGTGTTTAAAATCATATCAGTATTTCATGGGTGACGAGGGGGGTCTTCTGCTTTTCACGCCCACTATAATGTTGTTTGCTCGTCCTGTGACCCCGCAGCCCATCGTCCCTGTCACCTGGTCCTTTGTCCCCCGCTCTGGGGCCACCTTGTATCACATATGGAGGGGACTGGCTGAACCCCTCAGCTCGCTGCATCTTCCCTTAAACACTCTTTTTGTCTGTGCGTCCCCCAGTGAATGGACCATTGTCCCGGGGCCAAAAGGGACGAAGACAAAATCTTTAGTGTTTCAATTCCCGTGATGTTTAATCAGTCCCTGCGACAAATTTATGAGCTTTAACTGCACAATGGAGTTTTAGAGCATAATGCTGACAAAGACAGGCTTTTAGGGGTTGCCATTGGTGTTTTAAGTTGCTGAGAAGAATTGTGTGAATAGTATGGGATGGTAACAGACTGCCCATCCTAAACTTATACTCACTGCTCTGTCCCCGGGGCCCTTTTAAGGACACTAATAAGGTCCACATAAAGCGGGCCACAGGGGGAGACTGGTGACCAGAACATTAGGCTCAAATACCTCCAAATGGAAGTACTACTTGTCCTACTTAAAATCCATTTGCTACCGCTCTACACATCAGTTTGTCCAACTAGGCTCCCGTAGAACTCCTCACCTGTGTCTTTCACCGCGGAGCGTGTCATTTCTGAAAGGTCGAGAGCCGAGAGAAAAACTCTAAGACAGTCTGAAGAGGTCAGGGAAATGGAAATGCAAACACAACTAGAAGTTAGTGAAGTATAGTAATTAATAATGTGACAAATATTAACACCTGCTATTAATAATATTGACATTATAACACAATAAACATCAGCAGTATTATTAATATTACTATTAAAACTACTACTACTACTACTACTTCTACTACTACTACTACTACTACTACTACTACTACTACTACTACTACTACTACTACTACTACTACTACTACTACTACTACTACTACTACTACTACTACTACTACTACTACTACTACTACTACTACTACTACTACTACTACTACTACTACTACTACTTCTGTGTTCTCAGCAGATCTACTACAACAGGCTGACTCTTGGAGGTGCCAAGCATGTGTTTCCCGTGGGAATCGAACCCAGGACTCTCTGCTTGCAAGGTAGGCGTGCTGACTGCTGCCATAACCATGTTATATATACACGTGTGTGCTGTTTATTATCTGATATTTAAGTATTTGGATGAGTCATAGATATAAACTAAAGTATTCTGAGTGTACTGCCTGATTAAACTTTACCACAGTACTCTTCTTGTATTTCATAGTTTAATGTGTCAATACAACTCCTTATAAGGTGATGAAACCTTTTACACCATATGTTCAGGTTTGGTGACAGTGTTCTCTTTTCCAGCAAATTAATTGGTATTTTTGATCCACCAGATGGCGCTATAAGACATGGTATGATTTTTCAAACCAAGTCTCCCACCCAAATGAAGAGTTTTCTTAGGGTCACAGGCTACAGCCATAGGTGGAACCACCAGGGGTCGCACTCGGCTTTACTACTTGTTAGAGTGGAGCTCCTTCTGACTGGAGACAGAAACATGGCTGATCTCAGTCAGAAGTGGCCGCTGGAATTACTGCTGTGTTTGAACAGTTGGCTTTAGTTTCAGTACAACTGAAGGTGAGGATTGTCATCATAATACTGTGTCACATGATCAGAAATCAATATACATTTTAAAAAGTAACACATGACCCTCAAAATGGATTCACTTTTTAATTCAAGATCTCAAGTGTTACACAAAAAATATTAACCTTCATATTTGTTAATGCAAACTTTGCTCCATTTGGTCTAGGTAGGTCTAAAGTCCGGCCTGGGGCCCAAGTGTGGCACCTGGAATGGCTTTCCTAGGGCCAATGTCTTCTTTTTATATGGCCCACCACCAAGGTAGGACATTTTGTTTTTATTTTTCCAAAATACCCTTATAATGGTAGTTAAATCATTGTCTGTCCAATTCTGCTCATTATTTTAAATTATTATTATTTTTAAAAAGACATCTGCCTGACTCTTAGCTTTTGGCTCAGTGTTTGGACAACCTTTGTCTTCATCTGACTCAACAGTTAGTATTCTTTAGGTGAACTTTGACCTATTGCTGAACATTTGTTGAAAAATTGTTTGGCTAACATTAGCTATTTCTGCACTTATGTTTAATTAGCATTTTGCTAATTTAAAGCTTTGTCTGAGCCAATGTTTAGTCATTTTTAGGCTTGAGCTGTTCCTGGACTGATGGTAAATGAACTTAAAGTGAACTTCTCACTTTTTTTTTACCTCACCTTGGCTTATCTTACTTTGTTGCTAATTTTTCAACCCCTAATATAAAATTATAGAAATAGTTATTTACTAAATATCACATATTTCTTCTTATAAGGGGTCTTTTTTCAAGAATGTTTTTTTATTTTATTCATATATCATTCTACATCTGTGTATATGTCCGTGTCCTTCGTGTGCACGACCTCGAGCAGTTACTGTTCTCTGCTAATAAATCTGCAGATTTAAAAAGTTGGACTTGACTGACTCACTCAGTCTCACTCATTTATTACAACACAACACTCAGATCATAATAATCTAATATAATTAATTCTTTGTGTTTGTTTTCACCGTTCTCTCCGTGCAGATCACCAGCTGTGTCTGAACACAGAAAAGTTTCAAACGTTTCAGGTAAGAACAGCAAACGGAAATGAGAAACACAGATATTTGCTGTGGAACTCCTTTAAAAGAAATTAATTTTTGAGTGCGGGCATGTGAACAACAAGTGATTTTTCTTTTGTTTTTCTTTGGTACTGCACTAATTTCCTTCTGTCTTAACTCGAACCATATCATGAACTAATCAGCCGATAAACAACGAGCTGCAGCCCTGATCACAAAAGGCTCCATGCCCCATACCTTCCACTTCACACTGTCCTCATTAGGCTCAGGAATTAGGACTAATTACCACTAATTGGCCATAATTGCTATGTGCCATAGCAGGGGAAAGGTACTGATTTAGATGATTAAGAACGTCTCGCAAAATATTCCGTAATTAAGGACAGAGGGGAGTAAAGGAAGGCATGGGCGAGCTGTACCTGGAAACCCGCAGTAATCTGGAGTGTTTGTGATGATATGGCCTGTAAATGAGCTCAGCTATCATCAACGCAGTTGATTTGAACTATGCTGTTGAGGCCCTGGTTCATATGTGGCATCGTGGCTTCATTAGACATAATTGAAGGGTAATGGGAGGATACGGCTTGTTGTGGTGCGTCTGCACAGGGCTTTTTAAAAGCAGTGCAGAAGAAACTGACGCAGATGTAAATAAAACATGTAAACAGGCCAAAATAAACAGCAGCGACAAGACAGAGCTGATGAGGATGAGGATGATGAAGATAGTGATGACGTTGATGGAGATAGTGATATTTATGATGATGGTGATTATGACAATGATGAAGATAGTGATGGCGATGATGAAGATAGTGATGGCGATGATGGAGATAGTGATGGTGGATGGCTGAGGAAGACAATGGTGATGATGATGATGATTGTGATTTGATGATGCTGAGGATGAAGATAATGATGGTGATGTAATGATGAGGACAATGATGCTGATGAAGATGATGATGATGATGAAGATAATGACCATGATATATAGATGAGGATCAACATCAGCAATCATGTTTTTTTTTCTTTTGATTTGTACCTTCTGTTTAAGGAGTGAAACAATTTCTCTTCATTTCTTGATGAAGGCAAATTAAATTTAATTATTGACTTTTAAAAAAAACAATGTTTGATAATTACAGCCTGAATGTCAACCTGAGCACTTGAGTGGAAAAAGTTGTTTCTTTTCGTCAAAACTAAAACCTGTTTCAGAAGTGGCTCAGTTTCGTTGTATCCCCGTGGTACAATGACAATACAGACCATAAAAAACAAACACAACAAAACTGTAACTAAAACCAAAAAACCACACAGAAATGAGTGTAGAGACATGTGGAGTTCCTCAGGGATCTGTTCTCAGCCCACTTTTGTTCATCATGCATACAGCCCCCACAGCACAGAACGCCATCTAACTCAACATTTCCTACCATCCTGATGTTGGGCACATGCCTCTCAGTGATGCAGTTTTGAAAGATTGCACTCCCTTATACACACACAGGGGGGCATTAATAAGACAAAAGAACAGTCAAATGTTTCAGCGCTGAAAAATGATAAGAGCAGCCGTTAGAGCGTTGATAAAACATCATTTCCATATTTCCTAGATAGAGGTGACGGTGTTAGGAAGGAGGTGACTCAACATGATTAACAGAGATGTAAGAGTCTGTATAAGTGCTACTATAAATATTTGTTCACACATTACTGTAATGTATATGTGCTACCTAGTTACTTTGGTATTTAAATGTTTGACACGTTGTTGTCTGCACAGATAAATTGACATGTGCAAAATCAAACAAAAATATACCAGAAAAATGATTTAACCATTTAAAAAAATATATTAAATCAACATAAATGTGTGCACTGTGAGAAACTAGCTCAAAGGATACAACTTTTGTTTTATGTGTGCACTGTGAGAAACTAGCTCAAATGATACTTTTTTTTTAATTAACAAACTGAAGTAAATTGTGTAGTTATATGGTGATGAACAACCCCCACCTCACCACCTGGCACGAAGAGAACCAGTTGTCTTCAGTTATTTTCAAACCATAAACAAAGGTATTAATTCCTCTGTTTAGTATTAAAATGTATTTCAGCTACACCATTAGCAATATAGAATAGAAAAGAATAGAATAGAATAGAATAGAATAGATCTAGGTCGTCAGTGTCTTTATTTTGTGAAACAAAATTTAAAAAACACATCTTTAAAATATAAAAATAAAATCTGATATTAATTTTGTAAAACGTAATAATATTAATAATAACAATAATAATAATAATAATAATGTTTATGTATTTATTTTTCACAGGCGTGTGTCTGTGTCTTTGAATTCAGTAACCATGCTGTTTCGGTCCAATCATATCAGAAATAGTCGAATAGAGAGGAGGGGTTAATGATTGACGCAGTCTCTTTACACACGCGGATGTGTGTATTTATTTACTTATCAGTATCAGTCAATTTCCCTGCAGGCGAGTGCACTTTTGCATGTCTAAGTGTACGATAAGGCGCAACACAAACAATCCCGCAATCACCGAGTGGAGGCCTCTCGTGGCCATTAAAAGTCAGGAGTTCAAAGTGAGGAGGTGCTTCTCCAAACTCTCAAGTCCACACATTCAGGCCTCCTTTCATCAAGAGGCCCTCGTCAACATCACTACAGTTAATAAAGTGCATTGTGGTTAAAAAAAAAAAAAAAGAAAGAAAGAAAAAAAGAAAAAGATGCGGCTGCAGCAACAAGTGCGTCAAACTCCAGATGCTGCAGCTGCAGGAGGAGGAAGAGGAGGAGGAGGAGGAGGAGGAGGAGATGCAGTGGTCAGCTCCTGGTGCGCACTCCTCACCCTGCATCCTCTGCTTCATGCATGAATACATGCATCCCCGCGCGTCTGTCATCTGCTAAGTTGGAGTGAGTGCGCGAGCGCACGTCTGCTTAGTGAAAAAGTGAAATTACGCACGGAAAGAGGAGAGAAGGGAGGCTCGGGTCGGGGCTTGTTTTCTGTATTGTGTCGATGCCCCGCCTCTGATGGTCGCCTTAAACCTGGCACCAGGCTCTAAAACAAACCAAAGCCAGCATAGAGCTCCCACTCCATCCAATTAAGGCGGACTTGAGGCGCTCTCTCCTACGTCTTCATCAAGCAAGGATCGACGCTGAGACAACAAGCAACCAGAGAGAGGAGATTTGGCCAAAACGGAAAAGAGAAAAAAGAAAAAAAAAAAAAAAAAGACGGAGAGATTGCCTTGCCTCCTAATTTTCCCTCTCCAGCCCCAGAACAATGTCGATGAGCCCTAAGCATACGACTCCTTTTTCTGTTTCCGATATCTTGAGTCCCCTTGAGGAGAGCTATAAGAAATTAAGTATGGAGAACAACAACTTGGGGGCACCGCTCACCTCCTACCGGCAGCCGCAGGTCTCTCAGGCGGCCATGCAGCAGCACCACATGGGCCACAACGGCTCCGTGTCCACGGCCGCCTACCACATGACTGCGGCAGGTGTCTCCCAGCTGTCGCACACGGCCATGGGCGGATACTGCAACGGCAACCTGGGCAACATGGGCGACCTTCCGTCCTACCAGGACGGCATGAGGGGCAGCGCCACGGCCACCGGCTGGTACGGAGCCAACCCGGACCCGCGCTTCTCCACCAGTGAGTACAGTCTGAGCAAAGCCTGGCACACCGGTGCCATTTCTGGTCGTGCGTAAAGATGTGGAATCTCCAACGGCATCTATCCTGACGAATTTACACCTTAGAGGATTGTCTCCAAGTTTAGGGCAACATTTGTCGAAGAGTCTAATCATTTTTCTGAGATCATTTATTGACACCCGTCTTGACTTTGTCTGATGTTAAATTCCTTCATCTCTTTGCATTTATTTATTACTTTGGTTACTTATGAATCTGGACTCGTGGATACGAATATATATATATGTAAAAACACCAGAGTCATATTGTGCGTGAAAATGCAAATATTGTTTAGTCACCTTCAGTTCTTTCTCACCGACTTTAAAAATATACTTTTATCCACCAAACCAAGTCATAGTAAATATAACCATATTTTATGACAGATTTTTTACCTCCAGGCTCAGAAAAATAATAGGTAGGATCAAATCGAACCCCTAACCCTGAAACCCACTCTGGGCTCCGTGCGTAAAACCTGTGCCGAATCCTCGGCTGTAGCGAGTCCTGAAAACAGTCGACAGCCAAAAGTGACTCTCCCAGCCTTAAGAGTTATTTTCCATGTGTCTTCCTCCTTAGTTTCCCGCTTCATGGGCTCTTCCTCGGGCATGAACATGGGCAGCATGGGCAGCCTCAGCTCCCTGGCAGACGTGGGTAAAAGTATGGGCTCTCTGTCCAGCACCCCGAGGAGGAAGAGGCGCGTTCTCTTCTCCCAGGCGCAGGTGTACGAGCTGGAGCGACGCTTCAAGCAGCAGAAGTACCTGTCGGCGCCGGAGAGGGAGCACCTGGCCAGCATGATCCACCTCACCCCGACCCAGGTCAAGATCTGGTTCCAGAACCACCGCTACAAGATGAAGAGACAGGCCAAGGACAAGGCGTCCCAGCAGCAGATGCAGCAGGAGAGCGGCTCCTGTCAGCAGCAGCAGCAGCAGCAGCAGTCGCCGCGCAGGGTGGCGGTACCGGTGCTGGTGAAGGACGGCAAACCGTGCCAAGGCACCGGCCACACGGCCTCGTCCTCGGCCTCCTCGCAGACGCACCACCAGCAGGCGGCGAACGTCATGATCATGTCCAACAACACGTCCGTGCTCGGACAGCACCAGAGCCACCACCAGAACCAGCACCAGAGCCAACAGCAGCAGGTGGGGAGCACGGGTCACTCTCCAGACCTGGCACCGCACTCCTCCAGTCCGTCCGTCCTTCAGGGCCAGGTGTCCGGCCTGTCCCACCTCAACTCCCCGGGCTCGGAGTACGGCTCCGCCCTGCAGTGTTCGGCCCTGTTGTACGGCAGGACGTGGTGACAAACGGTCGGAACCTGAGAAGGAGAAGAAGAAAACAAACAAAATGCAGTGTAAATGTGCGGCGCAGCGCTTCTTTAAACAAGTCCAATATTTTCCCCTGTTTCTTTTGGGAATAGAAAAAAAAAAAACAAAACTCCAGAAACTGTGGATGTGGAAGTCTTTGGGATTTATTTATGTAAATTATAATCAAGGGAAGAACCCAGCAGTGAAACAGGAGCCGTGCACATATGAACTGCGGCACCGCTCAGTATGGGTGCTGTTCGATTCCTCTCCACTTTCCCGAACACACCAAGGCCATCAGCTGACGCCTGATCTATGATAGAATGTCCTGTAAGCCGTAGATCTAGGTTGTACATATTTCTGTAAAAGACCATGGACTTTAGCTCCTGTCTGTTGTACAGAGTTTCTGACGGTTTGTTGTCGTTTCACTCGTATTTGTACTCGTTTTATTTGGTTTGTAACTTATATAGATATTTGACCTACTACAGATTCAGTCCTATTAATAAATTATGGAAACGTTTAACACACCAAAATCTTTATTTTTTCATTCTTATTTATTTTTTTTCCGTGCGATGTTATTGGTGAAAAAGCATCAGATTTTGACGCGTCCTTATAAATTATTACAACTTTCCTCCGTATCGTTTCAACACAAAAATTCCAGCAATTTGTATAATTTGCAGTGGTTTTGCACACGTTTTATCCAATCCTTTAGGAACAATATTTACTTGTATGTTTTGAAATATATGTAATAATTTGATTACATTTATCAAGACGTAGAGTCATTCTTTCAAAAGATTCAAAAACTTCCCCAAAAGATGGAGAAGCTCCTTCAGAACATTTATAAGAAAGAAACGTCCAGTGTTATGGGGTTGTGTGTATATTTTTCGCTTAAAAAAAACAACAAAAATAAAACAAAACAAAACAAACAAAAAAAACAGTGCAGCGAAAACTTTCATAATTGATTTAATCTCAAATATGCTTAACTTAAAAAAACTGCATTCCTCTGAGGATTTAAATATCTACATATTCTGCTTTTATTTTATTTTTATTTTTTCCCTTTCCATATTTTCAGTTATTTTGGCTTTTGATGTTTGTTTGTTTTTTCCCTTTTTGCTTTCTTTCTTCCACTTCTAAAATTTCCCTTGGATCTGGAACATTCTTTCTCCTCGTATTATTTTCCCGCTTATTCCATTTTTTTATCCCGCCCTAATTTCGTATTCCTGTATATTTTTTATTTGCTCCATTTTGAACCCAAATACTTTCTCATATCGCGTTTATGTTTCTTTGTTGTAGTTTGTTCCGCCTTTCTCTCCTAGCATCTTAGCATTTAGCCTGTCTGTCTGGTTTGACTCGTTATATTGTTTTATTGTCCGTCGTTTTTTGTTCGGCCTTTTCTGTCTTTTTTACATTTTCCCCCTCATTTCAGCTCATTTCTTCTTCTTTACATCTAAGTCGATATTTTGTATTATTTTCCTTTGTTGATGCCGAATTAATTAAAGAATCTTCTCGGCGAAACAACAAACCAACGGTTTGTTTTCTTTCCTTTTCAACATGGACGGCGACACTTGTTGTCTTTTCGTTAAAACGGACTTTGAACATCGAACCAAAAAAAAAGAAAAAAAGATTACATTTAGACTCAAGTCACACGGGCTTTTTTTTACATCAGGCCCTGATGATTTATGACGATTTATTATTCAAACTGTTTGTGTGGCGTTTGTGTTGTTTTGGGAGCAGCTGTGGATGATGATGATGATGATGGTGATGAAGATGATTGACCGTTACTGACATGTAGAACTACAACAAAACAACAACGACGGTCATCGGGTGTTTGTCAGAGAAAATGAAGGTTTAATTTTGACTCCAGGAGGTGTAATTTAAATAAAAAACATTTATATTAAGACGTTCGTTAACATGAGCAAACACCTGCATAGAGAAAATATTCAGAATTTACAGAAAGATATTGAGATTTAGATGCCTCGTCTTTATATACGGTATATATATTTCAAAATGTAAATATTTTTACTTTTTTCTTCCTTTTTTAGATAAGTCAACCAGGCTCTCTCTCTCTCTTCCTCTCTCGCTCTCTCGCACACACACACAAACACACACACGCCTATTCTTTTTCAGTCTTATCGTTAAAGAAGTAAACTAGGTGTGTGTGTATATGTGTGTGTGTGTGTTTCCTCTCTTTATTTTCCCTTTCTGTGTGTGTTTCCTTTGGGTGAGTCAGAAAAGGTGAGGTCTCTCTCTGTCTCTCTCTCTCGTGTGTGTGTGTGTGTGTGTTGATTCCAGGTCCTAACGTCAAACAAACACACACACACATCGCTGCAGCTTATCGATGAAAATCCCTGACCAAACATCGCGGCCCCGTGTTTGCTATCAGCTGATTAACCGACGATCTATCAGAGAACTGAGGGAAAACAGCGTCGAGCTGCTGGACTCTGACGTCAGTCACCAATCATTCAAAGTCCATTTCATTCCTTTGACAACAAGAACGTTTTTTTGTTTTTGTTTTTGTATTTTTTCTCTAAAGACCAAAACCACATTTAAACACGAATGACGTCAGCAATGTTATTTTTGAAAAGGTAAACGGCGTTTAACCTGTGACACATGATTATATTTGACCTGCTGCCCTGTCACCTGATAAGAACCAGGTTCTTGAAGGGTAAATAATGTGACACAGAGATAAAGACGTGCGATTTCAGCTGCGGTTATTTTCTCCCGCAGGTGTAATTTAACCCCGCGTACATGGCAGCCACGTGACTGAAATAAAAAAATAAAAAACATATATACGTGTGTAGGCTACATAAACGATGAAATGTTGTGGCTTTACAGATTATTATAGATTTAGAGACAGCAATTCTATGACGTCAATTCATTTCAAACGCTCTGTTTTGAAACTTCTCACTTACCCGCGAAAAAAACTATACGTATTGTCCAGGAAACGTCGATATTAATTAGCCGTTTGTCGATAACTGAAAAAGTAATGAAGTAAAACATTAATAATTCTATTATTACTTTTATTACAGGTTATTTGTATGATTATCGTTATTTTCATTTTCAAAACATTGCACTCCTTCCGCTGATGTGAATTAGAACCACATACATGGTAAAGAATTAAAAAAAAAACATTAAAAATAAGAAAATTCTTATGTTTTTTAATCTCCCAGTATGAACCTGAATCTCGAAACTGTTTTGTTTTGACTCTTCACATTAAAAGGAAATATTTTTTATTTCTCTTATGCAGAACTGATTCAAATGTATTTTAACTTTTATAATTTTAACATTTTCAATTTCTTATTATAAAGTATATGGTACATAAGTAAACAAAGTGTTTTGTCAGAGTTCTGATTGTAAAATTATTCTAAACCTTCTAACCGTGTTACTAACATAATTTTAACAAATACAAAAAGTCCAGATTAAAGACGTATATTTTTGCAAATACAGTGTGGGATTTGAGATATATTTAATTTTTGTCACGGTTTTGTTTTTACCAAAAATCCAAAGGCAGTGAATTTTGAGAACAGTTAAAAAATGTGCAAAGCACAAACAACGAGAAAAGAAAATGTTTTTTGCTTCCTGAGTCAAATTTAAAACCTTTAAAAGTGAAAAAGCTTGCTTTTTATTTTTTTATGACAGTACGTCTCCTTAAAATAAAAAACACTAGAACTATATTTAAATAAAGTTAATACATTAACTTTAACAAACATTAAACGTTTGCTAAAAATAAAATTCAAAGGACGAGTTGAACCCTTGTATTTTTGTTGAGGAAATTAAGTCAAACTTTCATCCATAAATTAAAATTGAATCACGAGGTCTTGATGCTAAAGTGGCCTCCATTATCTCCACTCACTGCTGCTGCTTTAATGCTGCATTAGGCCCTGGTTTTGAACCTGACCTCAGTATTTTACTCCTGTAATAATATCCTATCATTTACCACATAGTCATCACAGAGGAGAGGACAGTTTGGTTTTGTGAAACCTCCAGGCTGTGGCCACCATAGAAAACCTGCATTAAAATGATATGACGTAGTAAAAATGACATTTTAACACATAACCTGGACACAGTTAAGACTGAATGGACGGTGGCTTGGACTGGTGCTGTGACTTGTGCTTCTAAATGAAGTCTTTCACGCTCCTTTTATTAAGTCTCTGGACCTCAAATTAGGAACTATCCTCTCATAATATGACAGAATGTAAATGAGGGAAATCTTAAGAGAATCCCAGATGGAGGCCACCAGCACGCAGCCCTGGAACCTCTGCCCCACTACCTCCGGCAGCAGCATCACAGACTCCTCTATTTTCTCTGAGCTTATTTTCTCTGCTCTGCTTTTTTGTTGTAGACAGCAGTGAGAAGTTTGGGATTACATTAACATGTCTTTGGCTCGGTGTGTGGTCTTTGTGTGCAGCTTGTAGCTGTTGAGAATGACTTGTTGGAAGCGTGTGTGCTCTCATCGCTCGCTTTTGTGCAAAGCCACAGTGCAACTCCACAAGTCCTCCTGCCTTTGTCCTGGCTCTGTCTCCATCAATCCCAGGCAATTAGTCCATAATCTCAAGGCAATCATAATGGAGTTATAGACGAGCCGAGCTGCTAGATTATATTTTTCCTTTATCATTCATTTATGTCTTAAAAGTTTGTCGGAGACGTTTCAAGTTATCTAATGAATGCACCACCAAACCGAGGCTATAGTGAGTTTAGTTAATAAGTCAAATTTAAAATTGATTGGCCTTGTATATAAATTATTATAAAGAGATTTGACCTTTTTTATATATATACTGTCAGTATGGTTAAATATCTTTTCAGAATGACCAATCACTAGCAGAGGGAAAGCAAACAATTCCCAGGAAAGTTAGTAAACTTCCTAAAAGTGAAAAACAACAAATGTAAACAAACAAAAAAGTAAAATGTTGTTAGTGACAAGTGTATACAACACTGGCCTGCCTGCAGTCCAGATCAGTCTTTATTGAAAACATTTCACACACAATGAGCAGCTCAAGTCTCTAACATCCAACAAAGGAAACTTGTATGTCACACCGCTTTCTAATAATAAAGAAGAATAAATAAAAAAAGCAACATTAGGTTAGAAAATTGAATTACTGTGAACATTTAAAAAAAAACTGAATTCAATTATCTTTTTTTTTAGAAAATTGAATTACTGTGAACATTTTTTAAAAAATTCTGAATTCAATTATCTTTTTTAAAAAAAATTGAATTTCTATATATCTATATCTATATATTCATTTCCATTCATAGTGGCTTTTTAGAATGTGCGTGGTGCTGTCCATGGTGCTGAAATCATACACGCAATATGACCTAAAATTATGTACTTTTATACCTTAAAAGTCTATTCAACTGTCGAATACAGTGAATACATGGATTCTCAATCAATTTTTCAATAATAATAATAGTAATAATAATTATTATTATAATAATAGTTTTTTCTTTTTAAATGAGAATATTGTGTTTAGGGAGTAAAACACCCCCCCCCCCCCCCCCCTAAGTTCCTACAAACATTTAATTACAGCAGGCCTCAGCATTCATGTGCATTACAAACAGCAAAATTACGCAGCAACTGCAATCACCTGGCATTGGTAAATGTTATTGTCAGACAGCAGCGGGCAAAAAAGAAAAATCTTTAATTGTCCAACGTTTATCTGCTTCTTCAGTCCATTGTGCGAGAGCGCAAACGAGGGTCATTTGTTAGCTGAAATGCTTTGCATGCAAGGCGAGGCACGAGATGCTGCTGTAATACTTGACCTTTCAGCATAATTGTGGCAGGCATGAAATGCAGCTTTCAGAGCAGACTGAGTGGAGTCTATTCTCTGTCTTTTCCAAACCCACTGATGAACAAAGCACGGTTTATACATCTGTCTTCATTTGGGCTTGTTTTGTTTACAAGTAAATTTCTCTGCTGCAGGTAACCATTGATTTCTTTTTTTCTTTTTCATCATAATGACCAAAGTAGACATGAAAGTGGTCCAGCTGAACAGTTTACAATCCAAGGCATAAAATTAAAGGCACCTCAAACTCTTATAGTTTATTTTTTATTTGTCATTTAAATGTAACACAAAAGAGATGGAATAGTTGGGTTTGAAAATCTTGCACAGAACAACAGAGATTTTTAGTAGGAATTATCTCCTCAATCCAATTAATTCCAGGGGGGGGAAACCCATGAAAAGGTTGATGATGTTAAAACAAATATATCCTTGAGATTTTGGCAAGACAAAAAAAGATGGAACTTTGTCTTAGTCTCAATAGTAGTCTAGTCTTAGTCTAAATGGAGGCTTACAATAATGTGTTGTTCTGTAAAGAAGAAGAGACAAACACACCAGAACGATGTTGTAACTAAATGTCCCACAACACATCTCAGAACTCTTCTGTAAATATTACTGTTATTGTCACTAATCAATTTATTTTGGTCAACTACCAAAATATTAACCAGATAAAATGTTCCTAATTTGTGCAAAACATTTCGGATTTTCTTTTATTAAATCAGGGAAAATCTAAAAAAAAAAAGATACATCACAACAATAACTGTTCTAAACACCATGACTGTCCCTTGTACCAAACATTGGATGTTGTATGACAACCATAAAAAAACATGTTGAATCATTTTTATATACAACAGCACTGACAGAATCATATTTCCTACATGAGGTCACCAGTTTAAACCAGTTTAATTTGGGTCGGGTGGCTGATATTGACCCTTTATGCGTCATTAAACGTCTATGTCCTCACTTTAACTAATGCAAGTGTTAACATTGTGTTCACACTGACTGGTTTAACCTGGGGGGTCTTCAGAAGGACAGAAACTCAGTGTTGTGTGTGTGTGTGTGTGTGTGGGTGTGTGTGTGTGTGTTCCCCCTCAAACATGCCAATTACAGGAGGCCTGACTAAAGGGGTCTTGTCATGTCTGTGTACAGTAACAGCAGGGGTCCTTTAGAAACCAACGAGGCTTCACTAACCCTGTTAACACCAGACCCTCCAGACCTACCCTGATCCTGCTGCTCACTCTATAGACTCACTGCAGGCAGCAGCAGCAGCAGCAGCAGCAGCAAACTCTGACTTTAATGAAGCTACTCATATTTTGTTTTTTTATTATTTCAGAAATTGTGACAGAAATGTAAAAAAAAAAAAAGGGACAAGAAAAGGTTCACCAAGTTCAGATCTTATTTACTGACTATAATATATTGTAATAGCATAAAAATGGATGTTAGTTTTATTTATATAATGGCCATTTATAGCAACATTCTTTTTAGATTTGGAACAGACAACAGCTGGTTTATGTTTTCTGACAACATTATGCAGCTTTTTTTTAAGTAAATAACCTGCATAAAGTGAGGTTGCCTGTTGTTTGTCAAACATTGTTGGTGTGAAAACTGAAATTTCAGAGAAAGTTGCAGAAGAGACTTTAATGAAACAGAATGAAATACAAGAATTATGGTGTAGTGCTATTTTGGGAATGAAGTCAAAATGTATTTTTTTTCCACATAACCAGTTGACTTGTACTGCCTTCATACATCTGTAGCAGGTGTATTTTATCTCCTGCGTTTCTCAAAATGCAATGTGAAAGAAAAAACTCCAAATGATATTAAAATATTATTTGGAGAGTTTATAATCAAACTATCAGTGAATTATCTTTTCACACTTTTACACTTTTTGTCCTTAAGGGACACTTGTAGATACGAGTCTCTGAAATCCATCAGCTATGATAGAGGTCAGAGGTTAATCATTT